GTGCACCTCTACAAGCTCACCGTTGGTGACCTCACGTGAAGATCGAAGCGAGAAGGTGCTTCAGCCGCAGAGCTCTAAAGCTGGACACCAGCACTTCAGTGAATGAGCAAGTGAGAAATTTTTTGAGTTTACACTACAGTGACAATCCACACAATCTGAAAAATTCCCTTTTCGACACTGGACTTGAGAGCACCCGGTGGAGAGTACATAATGATACTGATCACATCGTCGTCAACTAAAGGTTTGATTGGCGGATGATTGGCGGTGATGATTGGAGGTTTGATTGGCGCTGTCGTTTCGATATTTCATATAGGACTGAACCATCATCTTCTTCGTACCAAGTAAGAGAGAGCCGCTTAGTTAAGAAAACGTCGTCCCACGGCTATCATCAAATGAGATCTGTTTATAATCGATATTAGTTCTTTTGACACGATACGGTGATTGATAACGTCCTAAGAATATAAACGGTTCATTTAGCACTTTCACGGTTGTGCTAAGGAAGCCAAGCGTCTAAGACGAACGAGAAAGCGCTCGTCACGAAGATTTTAAAGCCAATACGTTGACGTGAACAAGCTGCAAGCAATCGCCATTTGAGATCCGAGCTTGAGAAGCAAGAAACGATGAAAGAAAACCTCAAGGAGAGAAGAGTACAAGTGGTGGTTTACTTTCGCGGAGGCTGGAAGTAGCGCCGCGCCGGCCGAAGCTCATCTTTTAAAACAAGATGAGCCCACGTAGCCGCTTTGATCAAACTACAACTCCTCCGTGAAGGTCGAAGGAGAAAGTCGTTCGCGCTACTCAGATCTCTTTGCAATCTCTCCACGCGCACCTCCGCATGCCACCTCAAGGATGAGTTGTCGCACTATTAGTTCTTTTTTGGAGTACGACACGCTTTAATGTCAGTGCAAAGGCGGTCCGACCAGGATCAAACCGGCACACCTGAAGAATTCTGTTTAACAGGTAGAACGTCCAGACCGCAGGTTTCACTGACGTAGCAGAATGTTTATCGGAAAGTAGCTTGCTTCCCGGCTCCGCTCGGCCCTGTCAAAACACTGTAATAAAGGTCTCATCCCTATCCCTGTACAGCCTTTCCCTGTGCCCACTTCTACAGTTCATTCCCCGTTCCCTGTGTTGTATTCGGATCGCCATGCTCACTTACCTCCCTGTGCCAACTCCCAGCCCTGTAGCTCAAACTTTGCAAAAAATCGCTAAAATCGATAAAAGTAATCGATAATTCTGAAAACTAATATTGTATTCGGAATCACCATACCCACTTACTCCCCTGTGCCAACTCCCAGCCCCGTAGGTGAGCTCTGCAAAAAAATCGATAGAAATCGATAAAATCGATATCGATCGATAACGAAAAGTAGGCTACGACACGCTCCCCGCCTCGAAGTATATGTGTGCCAAGTTTGGTCCAAATCGGTTCAGAAATAAAAATTTCTATTCCGCACATACGTACAGACATACAGACAGACACAGACAGACAGACACACATTCAGTTTTATAGATAAGATGACAAACCAAGAAAAAGCACACAGAGTAACAAGAGGATAACGCTATGCAATGATGAGTTCGAAAAGAAGTAGTGAAAACAATGAACGAGGAACAAATTGGCTATCTCTAAGCAGAAACATGAGATAATCCATACTTTGAGGGGTTCGAAAATAAAAAAATTCAAACTACCTCTTGTCCGGACGATGCCTTTAGACTGCGACCTTGTGATAAAGCATACTTTAACCTTTTTGGACCGCAAAATCGCGCGCGGCGAAAAAGAATGAACTTTTAGTTTTTAGCCGACAAAGGGACCTTCTTTCGTAGGCCGTGAGCTACTTTTGTAACCAGCATATGAGATAAGCTCCATACGCAAGGTTCTGAGTGAAATCGAAGCGTTTGAATTTTGTTGCTTGAGAGTGACTTCCGTGCTTTCTTGAAAGCATAGAAAGAAGAAATCACGATCAGTTTCTAATAGTAATTAGAAGTATCTAAGTTGAAAACGGTACAATCATTATTGAAACTAGAGGTTTTCTCTTTGAAATAGAGGCAAAAAAAGTTGCGACGTCGCACGCGTTGCTCGCATGCCGCACTTCGTTGCAACTGTTGTTTGATTTGTCGTCATATCTGCTAAACAACTAATGGCGGCACAGCTCTATAGAGTCATTCGGGAAGTAGAAGCTTAGGGTCTGATTTGGCACTGACTAAAAGATAACTTCCTGTAAACGTCAAAACGATCCTTCAGGGCATCGTGCTGCACCAAGTGCAGCACCGGTCCGAAACGTGTTAAAGGCAGTGTCCGGGCAAAAAGTTGATTTTGAGATTTTGTGCTTACCCGGGCCTATTCACTATGCAGAATCCGAAAATTCACATTGGAAAGCGCAAAAACGGCAAGAAAGGGCTCTAACGCAGGAGGGAAATCGAAAGTGGGCGGGGTCCTCCCCACTGTGAATTTCGCAGTCCCAGCTTCTGGAGCGGTCTTCCAAATTCCTCCAGCGCCCTGAAATCTCCACCAGCCAGGTGCGAATGCATGACTTGAAATCGGAACCGAAAAGATCGCTCTGGAAGCTGGGAGCGTGAATTCACAGTGGGGAGAACCCCGCCCACCTGCTGATTTCCCTCCCATGTTAGAGCCTTTTTCGCCATTTTCGCGCTTTCCAACGTGCTTCGGATTCAGCGTAGCGAATAGGCTCGGGTAAGCAAAAAATCTCAAATCGAGTTTTTGCCCGGACTCTGCCTTTAAGAAATGACTTGGTATTCATTAAAGTCTATCTTTTGAGGGTTAAATATTCCTGCGTCAGCATAATTGACAGTATCGCTTCCGTGGAACAACTTATTTGCGATGAAATGCTTTAGTTAGTATTCGAAGAAGACTATTTAGAGGCAGCGTCCGGGCAAAATTTTGCCTTCCCTGTTTCCGCCATTCTGGGGCCTATCCGTAGCCCTGATTACACTTGTGAAGTCCAAATTGTTCAAAACTGCCAAAAAACCCGGGTTTTGGGGTCCCTCTCTTCAAGGAGCGGACGAGTTTCGAATTGCTCGTCCCCATCGTCATGCCAGCGGGAGGAGCTGCAACTGCACGGATGCAGTTGCATTGCAGTGTGCAGTGCAATTGCAATGCAACATACTCATGGGCTCCTCTTTACAACTATGTGCTAATCTGGGTGGATGGATCTTGCCTGGACGCTGCCTTTAATCAACTTTCATAAGCTCTGAAACATCCGGCAGATAAACTACTTCTAGCTTTCATTTCACGATTGCTGCTGGCCGGGAATATCTGCCTATTTTTGTTGATGATGGATTGATAAGAGATTTTGGAACCTTGAGGATTTCTAAGTGATATTCGTTGGAATAGTTTTGCTTCACATTTTCATTCTTTTCAGTTCATACAGCTTTGATCACCTGTATTGAACCACGATTTTGTAGAACATTTAATGCTTATAGGCACCGTCCACGCAGTTTCTCGACTTCTAGATTTTTGTCGTTTCAGGGCCTTCTCATGTCCCTGACTCCAAATATGAAGTCGAAAATCCGCGAAAATCCCGAAAATCCCCATTCCGGAGAACCCACAAACCGGCTTTCCGGAACGGTGATTGGATGAGCGCGCACAAATGGGCGGGCATCTATGGGGAGGGGTGGGCATGGATTCCTCGTGCATCTTCGCTATTCCAAAGCGATTTTCTCGCTTCCGAAGCGACATTTTGCGCCGCCACTTGGGCATTGGCTTGGTAGGAGGCCCTACTGTTATACGCTACCAAAAGCTCAACACCCTCAGCTTAGGGTGGACGGTACCTTTAACGTGAAACTTATGCACTAAGAACAGCTACTGGCAGAGTCGGTCAGTTTTGCTGTTTTTAGATTACTTTTTGTGTTGGATGCTGTCTAAAACGAATGAGCAAACGAAAATAGTCAAAGATATTGAGATTAAAAATCTTCCTTACTAGCTAGTAAATCACTCCAACTAACTTTCGCATTCAAAAAGCTGTATCCTATGTTTTGCTAAATAGCTGCCCCACATATCTAAACGAAACATTTTGCCAGTTTATGAGAAAGTTGGGCAGATAAGAAAACTGCCATGCCTTTTTTAACGTAACACGTATCTTTTCAAAAAAAAGCTTGCGGAGCGATCTTGGGTCAAGCTTCTTTGATTTTGATTTCATTGCCACCACTCTCAAAACGCTGTGGAGAGCATGTGAAATGAGTGTAATTTTCGGCGTCTGAACACTCGAACGAAATGAATAGTAGATTAGTGTTAATTTTATTTTTCACTCTCTCCCTAACTTCAGCGAAATTTGGTGAAGTTGGTAAAGTGAATTTAAGGATTGTCTGCGCATTCCATGCAAGATATCAGCTTTTAAAACTTCCTAAAAATTTGAAAGTATCAGCTTAACCTTGCCTTTCTGCAAAGACTAGAGTGAGTGTGCTTAGAGGTAGAGCCTTACTGTTTGATGAGTAAATTGTAATGAAACTACCCTGACTAACTATGAACATTATTCATTACTATCCTGGATCACATTTACCTCAAGATAGCAATGATGAAGAACAGAACAAGTAGAACACTAGAACAAGTACCCTTGAGTCTACCTAGTAAATCATATACTGAGCTATGATATTGAACTTTCATATAAAGATTGCCTTTTGAGGTCCGTGCATGCGATGAAAAGGAAAAAGAAACTGAGAAACCTTGTTGCTCAAGCATTGTTGCGCTTTCCGTCTTTCTTCCTTTTAACATTATTCTTATTGAATGTTAGCTTTCAACGCCTGAAGCGGATGAAAAATGGAAGGTTGCTTCACTTTGGAGTTTTCAGCTTCAGTGTGGAGCTTTGTGGCATCTCGCGTGAGCAACATCAGTAGACAGGCTTTTATGGTCTGGCAAAGTTTTCGTCTCACATATGATCCAACACTTTGTTTGCCTGTTTGCATGTAAACAAAAAAGAAGAGTTCCTGTAAAATCTACATCCTAACCCTTTACACAACCTGTTTCTGTTACGCGGAGTGCACCTTTTCAGGAACTTCAAATGTGCGTGTATGAGACAAAGAAACCGTGTGCTTTCGAAGAACCACCTTTTGATGAAGAACGAGAAAAGCAATGGGCTAATTTTCGTTGGATTACATCAAATGAAATCGATATCACAAAACTTCGAAGAGTGAGTACAAATTCTAAACTCGATTTCGTATGCTTACGCACTTGTTTAAGTATTACAAACGGTGCTATAACAAGAACCATAGAGCAATTTGCTATTGCAGTACAAACTTATGCAATGCAAATTGGAAACTTATGATGGTAAGTTCAAAGGAGCGTATTTAATAAATTATAAGTTGAAGATGATTAAAATCATTTTTTTACTTGTAAAACTGAAATTGAAAAGGCGGCCAAAACCAACATAGATAATGAGATTTTCTACCTCTATTCAATCTCTATAAAGAAAAAACAGAAAGTGTGCGTGCATGAAGGGTGTGTAGCTTATAGACTCTTTCTGCGTGAACCCATTATGCTTAAACTTTGCACACACGTGTTTTTCCTGTAGCTGAGTCGATTTAGTTCTTTTATCCAATCATTGATTTTTGGTGCTTTGCAATGAAAGTGACTTTATGGCGGCTGTGTCAAGTCTAACGAGTGTTTTTGACTAGACAATTTATCATTATAACACGTATTTATAAGAGGGGACAGAAAATGGGCAGGAGACCGCCGGTCACCCGGTGACCAGCTCATCTGAAGACAGTACCGCCCACGCGGCGGCTGTCACGACCTCTGTCAGCGTCTGCGTCTCGACATGTCCGTTTCATAGCAAAGCTCGTCCTCGAGCTTTCATCTTTGACCATGGCCCGGGAAGAGAAAAACCAGCATAACTTTTGATTATCTCGGAGTGCACACTGACCATTTGACCATCATCATACCATCCCCCACAACGGTCGGTCGCCTCAAGGTGGCGTGGGGGTGTTACATTGGGTGTCGAACTGCGATGCACATCCGAGTGTATACTCTGGCAGGGCCTTTCAACCTGTGAAGGAGTTTGACATTTCCGGTTTCGGCCGGATGCCTAGCTAAGGCCCCGGGCAGACTTCACGCGATTTGATCGTCGCGACTGAATCGCGACGAGACAACTGTTACAACATCATTCCATGCCGATCAACCTGCATTCGGTTGTGATACTTCTCCAGCCCGAAATTTTTGAATGTGAAATGAAAATGAATGGAAATCTTGGCGATTAGATCGCGACGATTAAGTTGCATGAAGTCTGACCGAAGCCTAAGGCCGGCCAGGCCGATTTCCGCCGTCTGGTTTTCCGGTCGCTAAGCGGTTCTTTCCGCTCCACACCCGGGTCAGCGATCACCCCGTGGAAATCAAGAGTAGGCCTAGCAATTTTGCTTTTGTGGGGGAAATCTTCAATTACTCCGATAGCAAGAAGAAGTGAAATAAACCGTGATTATCGGATCCCGCCTACGGCTTCGGATGGTAGCAAGAACGTCAGGGCGCCTCAGGGCGCCTTTTGGATCGGACAAAAACGACACGTCTGCCCGGACAACACGCCATGGAGATTGCCTCGTGCTCTGCACCATCAGGGCAGTCTCCACAAACGCCGACCTTCACGCTCTTCTCGACGCTGCAGAGCACATCAAGTAGCACATCATCGCTCTGCAGGAAACGAAGTTCAGGAAGAAGGACTTGCGACAGATGAGTGATGGGACCCTCATCATTCGTGGTGAAAAGGTTCCATTACGAAACGTTGGAGGCGTTGGTTTTGTCGTCCACCCATCTATCGTCCATCTTGTCGATTCGCATGAGAACCTGTCATCTCGACTTGCCATCCTACAACTACACCCTCCTCATCAGAAGACCATCAGCATCATCAACTGCCACACTCCAACATCAGCAGCTGACGACTCAGAATTAGATGCTTTTTACGAAGGAGATCGTCCGCAACGAGAAGTCCTTCTACGAGTTTGTTGCGGGCGACTTCAAGGCGAAAATCGGGATACCACTGGAAAATGAATATAGGATCGGGAAGTTTGGATATGGGCTCCGGAATAAAAATGGCAACCGTCTCGTTGGGCTTCTCTTCGCCGCACGACTTTTCCATGGAACTTTCATCATCATGAAGAAAGAACATTGCCGGTGGACAAGGGAATCGCCCAACTGAACGACTCACGCGGAGATCGACCACATTCTCACCAACCGAAGGTGGAGCTTTCTCGAATGTATTAGTAGTTCCATCCTTCTGCAGTGGCTCCGATCACCGCGTCCTTCGAGCGACGATATGATTAAGTCGAAAGCCGGAAAAGAAAGTCTATCACAGTGCCGCGAGAGAAGGAAGTCGCTTATGACGGTAACGGGTTGGGAGATTTCATATCAATAAACTAGTAATAAATTGAAATGATATATTTCTATAGTGTAGTGCTAGTTAAAATTAAAGAGATTTAGATATTTTTCTAGAACACTAAACTATGTTACTCCGTTTCGTTCTTTCCCTTAGACGGAGTTTAAAATGAGTTCTAGGTCTTCCCCGGAACTCCTCAGTAAGGAAGGAAGATCCAGAATCATGTATTATTCATATATATTTGTTATAATTGTAAATCTATAAAGTTTGTCTGATTATTTTACGTTTTATTATTAACCAGTGCGTCACCTCTGCTTCGCAGAGGTTCGCACTGGCTCTACTATCCGTGCCTTCTTCATGATAGCATGATAATAACTTTGAAACTCACCGCGCGATGCTGAACATCACGAATGAATTGTAAACAACCATTCATTTTTAGAGCTTTTCCATGTAAGATCGGTAATTTTGGGAGAAGAAATTTTCCCGCGGAAAAATAAATGCGATTTTGAATGGGTTACTGAATTTATTTTGGCTTCATAGTCGCCATAAGGATAAAGACCACCTCGAGCTACATATCTACTCAAAAATCCTCTCCATTCTTGTAGTAAAAACTTGGCAAATCGACAATCTGCTCAATTACATCTTTTTGGCGCCAATTTTGTGAAAAATAGATTTTTTGCTTACTTTTTGAGCTGAAGTCAATGTTTTTCGGATATACTTGCTGAACAAATCCGCGTCCAATCCAAATCTGAACAAATTCAATAATCTGAACAATTTGCAAAAAGTCCAATTACCGACCCATTTTGGCGGGCAAGAGTCGCGTGGATCCGTTTGACGCACAGTTTTCAATGGTTACACTTACTGGATCGGCTTGTGATTTTGCACAGTTTACCTACACGCTGACAGGGTGCTATGACCAAAATTCTAGATCAAGACGCTGGCTGCAACTCACTCTGTGAATTTCGTGACAGACAGATATACACACACACAGACAAACAGACAGACGCTTAGCGCTTTATTATAAGTCATGATATTTTAAGTATTTACATGAATTGTAGCGTACTTACCAATGATCTTCTTGCAGTTTAGTAGTGTTCATATTGAATATCATAACTTATAATAACGGGCTAAGGTTGTTTACGTGTTTTTGTGTGTGCGTATGTATGTCTGTGTGTCTGTCTGTAACGAAATTCATAGAGCGAGTTCCAGCCAACGTCCTGAGCCCAAATGTTGCACATCGCATGCGACCAACATAAGAGCCTACCATGCAAAAGCACGAGTAATTTTGTTGGGCGGATCCCTCAGAAACTGCGCGTCAAACAGAGCCACTTAGATTCAGGCCAGCAAAATTGTTTCCGTATCACCTCTTTTTGCAAAGTCGGGGATGTGTTTGGTATGCTAATGTGCAGGCCATAAATTTTAGTCCAAAAAAGTGGACAAAAGTTCACTAATTTACGAGAACGACGCCAAAAAGAAATTGTTGCGTAAATAGTCAATTTGCCATGGTTTTACCTGAGCTTTTAAGAAAAATTTTGCACAGAGATGTAGCTCACGTCGCCTACTGTCCTTATGGCAATTACCAAGCCAGAAAGATTCCTAAAACCTATTCAAATTTGTATTTGTTCTTTTGCGAAAAGTTTCATTCACGCAAAATCACCGATCTTACATGAAATAGCATTTGGAATGGGTAGTTGCTTACATTTTAGTCGCGATAATCGGCATTTCCCGGTGAGTTTCATTGCCACCATAGTCAAGAATGAGTAAGGCATATGAAGTAAGACCAGTGCGAGCCTCTGCGAAGCAGAGGTGACGCACTGGTATTATATAATACAATACGATAATGTTGAATTGACGAGACTTATAGATGTATATATGACCGTATGATTTTGTATACACGATTAAATGAAGTATACTTCGTTTCATTATGTTTATAGTTTTTCTTTGGTTCATTTCATTTTCAACAAGGAAGCTGTTACGTGACTATTCTCTTTAATATTAATGTAGATATTATATATATATATATATATATATATCAGGTATTTTTACGTAATTCTAAAAGTAATTTAATTTGTTGTTCTTTTAGTAGATTATATTTATAAAGTATAGATTCATTTCTTTTCAAACATTTGAATATACTAGATATAATTGTAGTAATATCATATCCGTTAATGGATGTATATTTGAGTTGTAATATTCGGACTAGAAAGTCTTCAAAGAGTGAACAAGTACGTGCTATTCTCAATGTTTCTGTGTATATTATCGCTCTTTTGATATTGTTAGATAAGGAAGAAGTAGAATGAATGAATCTTTTGACTGGAAAATTGAAAGCATCAGTTTTGTTGTATAATTTAGTTGTTAATTTATCTTTATATGAGATAATGGTTAGGTCTAAATAGTTGCATGCGCATTCGTTGTCGTTTGTTGTTTCAATTTGGAGTTTATAATCATAAATTTCTTTAATCCATTTTTGTACTATATCATTATCTGCATTGTGTACTACTAATAAATCATCCATATATCTATAAGGAATCATATTTTGTTTATATTTTAGTCTTTGTATTGAATATTTATATTCATACCATGATAAAGTGAGATCTGCTAAAATAGGACTAAAGTTACCTCCTTGAGGTACTCCAGTTTTTTGTTTAAGAATGTATATACCAAATTTACAAAAGCTGTTGTTTATAATGTAGTCGATTAAATAAATTAGGTCAGTTATTGTGTAATATTTTGTATATGGTTTTTGTTGTGTCCTCCAAGTCGGACACGTCGACTCTTCGTCCTGAGGCAGCACACGAGGAACAGAGAATATTTATTAGAAAATAATAGAACAGCCAAAAATAAGAGAGGCAGATGAGTGAACAGACGAACTAAATGTAGAACTGCAGAACTGACTAAGGCTATGAGTGAGCGCCTTTTATAGCGCTCATTTCCCGCGCATTGAGGTTGCAGGCGCCTCAGCGAG